GGGGACAGGGTATAAAACTACACCAGTGCACCCCTCCTGGATCCACCCCTGGATACAGATGGTATCTGCAACACAGCACAGGGCAGGGAAGGGAATGTGCCAAGCTGAGCTGCTCGTCACTAATCTCCCACTCGGAGACCAGATCCAGCCCAGAGGGCCACTGGGGTCAGCAAAGATGAGGCAGAACATGAGATTTAACCATGCTTAGCTGCTCCCCATAAAAACTATGTTTGCTTGCTGTTACCCTAGAGTGTGACAGACAGATCATAGTATTTTGCTGGTGATACTTCTGGTTTAAATAGTTTTTTGTTACAGTAATGTTGTATGCCTCAGTTCCCTGACTGACTTGTATACCAGGAAAGAATGGGCTAATGTCAATCTAAATTAGACCTCTAAGTGAAGACAGGGCTTTGACCCAGGGTGGAAAGAGTCTCCAAATGACAGGGATGAGCTGTGCCACAATGCCTCATGGCCAGGGATCCTGGTTTTCTCTGCTTAAAAAAAAAAAATCACAAGTTTTCCAATTTAAAAAATCCCAAAATACAAATTTGAGCTCCCTCTGCCCCATGTGCTCACTGGGATGTAGGTCAAGCTGAAGCTGTCCCCTCTGCTGCTTTGTGGCAATAAGCAGCCCTGCTATGCTGGTGCCCCTCACTCCCAAATCACAGCCCTGCCAGCATGACTCACACCCCTCTGCCCTGCCACTGCCAGCCCTGCTGGCACGATCTGCAGGCAGAGCTGGCCTTATGGGTGGACAGTGAGGACAACCGCCCAGGGCACTGAGGTATGGAGGAGGGGTGCGGTGTCACAGTACCCCAGGGCAAGGCCCTACCTCAGTTCAGGTGGGGGCAGAGGCGGCAGCAAGTTGGGGGTGCCCCTCATTCCCAACCCATAGGCCCTAACCCCCCATCCCACCCTGCCAGAGTGCTCCAGCCCCCTACTATGTGGGATAGGACGTGTGTGGGGCTTTCTGTAGCTTGGCCCCTGCCCTGACAATGCAGGGCTGGTCCAGATTCACCAAAGCTTGGCCCCTGATGGCCTAGACTGGCCCAATACCATCAGGACCATATGCCAAGCTCTGGGATGCCCAGACCACTCCTGTGCCATTGGAGGGGGGGGCTGATGGCGTGGGGCTGGTCCAGGCAATCAAGGGCCAAGCTCTGGGAAGTCCAAACTGACCCTGTGCCATCAGGGGTCCCCGCAATGGCACAGAGGCGGTTTAGGCACAGCCACTGGCAACACATTGGGAGAGG